ATATTTTTGAAGGACATTGGGCCAGATTCCATACTTATAAATATCTCCCCCTTAATGAGCCCTAAATCGCCATGATTTGAAACTAAACTTTTCCCTACCCCTACTTCCTGTTAGGATTTTAGTCAGAGGATCATCAAATGTCAAAGGTAGGCAATAATACTTGGGAATTCCAGGTCATAGCCCTTTACTTTAGAGATGGAAAGACGGAGGGCCGGAAAACAGAAGCAACCCAAAGTCACACAGCAAGTGAAATGACCTAACTGGGACTGACTTCAATAGAAGGTGAAATAGGACGAGGTCTTAAAAGTAGGACAAAGCAAGTAATGGGGGACTTTACAAGCTGGGGAAATAATTGCTTTCTGGGATGCCTAGGTGGGGTGTCAGAGCTGACTTGCCACCTAGGCATCCCAGAAGGCAATTATTTCCCCAATTTGTTGGACTGAACCTTTATACCACCGTCTTATAAGAAGCATAGGCCAGGCAATGGCTCACACCTGTAATCCCAGCACTTTGAGAGGCCAGGGTGGGCAGAGTGCTTGAGCTCAGGAATTCAGGACCAAGCTGGGCAACATGGCAAAACCCCATCTCTACAAAAAATACAAAAAATTAGCCAGACATGGTATCCTATACCTAATCCTTTAGATTAAAATCGCAGTACCCTTTTCACAAAACCCCATACTTACCAAGAGTTTTAGCATTAGGTGTATGCATTGTAGAAGGGTTTACATCTCAACTAGGAAGCTTAGCCTTGATTTGATAAACAATTAGTAGTTATTTAACTTTATTGAGTGGGAAAAATGCAATTAGAACTGTGCTTTAGCAATTTAATCTGGCGGGAATGTTAGGATAAATTAGAGAGCTAGATATCTTTCCTTTATTGCATTTTAGGTTTCGGGGTACAGGTGAAGAACATGCAAGATTGTTGCATAGGTACACATGTGGCAGTGTGATTTGCTGCCTTCCTCCCCTTCACCTATATCTGGCATTTCTCCTCATGCTATCTCTCCCCAACTCCCCAGCCCCCGCTGTCCCTCCCCTATTTCCCCCCAACAGACCCCAATGTGTAGTGCTCCCCTCCCTGTGTCCATGTGTTCTCATTGTTCACCCACCTATGAGTGAGAACATGCGGTGTTTGATTTTCTGCTCTTGTGTCAGTTTGCTGAGAATGATGGTTTCCAGGTTCATCCATGTCCCTACAAAGGACACGAATTCATTGTTTTTGATGGCTACATAATATTCCATGGTGAATATGTGCCACATTTTCCCTGCCCAGTCTATCATCGATGGGCATTTGGGTTGGTTCCAGGTCTTTGCTATTGTAAACTGTGCTGCAATGAACATTCGTGTGCATGTGTCCTTATAGTAGAATGATTTATAATCCTTTGGATATATACCCAGTAATGGGATTGCTGGGTCAAATGGAATTTCTATTTGGGACCTAGATATCTTAATCATGGCGACTATTTAGAAGAGCCTGGGCTTCAGGGATCAGAGTTCTAATAGACTGGACTGAGATCATCTGAAGGTCAAAGAAGTTAACTGCTTTGTCCAAAGTCAGATAGCTAATCAGTGGTACAATAAAGGTTCCAATTCAAGTCTGTTGTTAATGTCCATTTTTGGGGTTTCAGTACCAGGAAAGTAGATATGTACATAGAACACAGTGGGAGAGCTGCTGCACGCTGTGCTTTGCGGGCTGTTACAGAATAGTGTGTATATGCCTAATGCGCACCTGCTCTATTTTTTAAGGAGTTGAGGTCTTGCTCTGTTGCCCAGTGGTGCAGTAATAACTTACAGCTTTGGATTAATGGGCTCAAGTGATCCTCCTGCCTCAGCCTCCTGAGTACCTGGGACTACAGGCATATGCCCAGTCCTACCCTAGCCTAGGAAGGGGAGTGCCTGGTATGTGCAAAAGAAGTACAATAAAGCTAAGTAAAAATCATCAGTTTTTCCAGACATTTTACCTCTGAATTAGGGAAGCTGTTGAATGGTGCTTGTTGGTCTAAGAAGTGAATTTGTCTGACTTTAGCCTACATGTCAGCATCAGATCTAACATCCATGAACTTAGGCAGAATTAGCACTATCGCTGACTTCCCAGACTTGTTCCCCAAAAAAGCCTCAAGTGTAAAGATTTTTTTAACTCGGAGTTCTTTATAACTCTTGATAATTTCTTAGCCGTGTGTGTCCATTTTCATCATAACACCAAAATTGGCCTTTTGCATCCTGCCAGTTTTACTGTTCCTGCTCCCCCTTTTTATTCCTGGCTACTTAGCCCCAGGAGAGCCCACTTTTCCTCAGACTTCTGTACGCCTTGTATGAGTTGCTCTCTTTCCTGAAAAGTGCATGACTTTCCAGTCGCTTCCCAGTGATATGCAGGGCGATTCGCTTCTTGATGCTGTAGGTGAACAGTGACAAGCATCGCTGACGTGTGCCTCATTTGTCTTTGCCGAGTGTAACCTGTCATCTGGGTCTCCTTATAGTCCAGCATCCGTGTGTGCTGTGTTGCCACAGGAGGCTGACAGCATCACCTATCTCCCCTCCTCCACTGATGAGATTCATTCCCTCTGGCTGTGTATTGTTTCCCTGGGATCCTTATTAAGTATTTGGGACAGTATATACCTCTGCATCCTAACTGGTTCTTTGATGAGGATCAAGGCTTAGATACATCCTAAATTTATCCGTTTGTCTGGGGGCTAAACACACAAATCTGGGACAGAACTCTACACTTGTGGGTGTGGCTGCTATCATCTAGTTCTCTTTATTGCGGATGCCCAGGGAGTTTTAAAGATGGTATCAAACTTGTCTATTTCAAAGGTACAGTGCCAAACATGATGTTCTTAGTTGACTGGGATGGGTGTGCTTTGAGCAGTTCTCTAAGGACTTGGTAATGAAGATATTAGGAGTAGAGGTGACACCTGTCATTACCCTCTAGGTTTAGGGATGTATTACACAATTAAATGAGAAGGGGCAATATAAACGTCCCCAGGCTGCTTTAGGGGCTACCTTTCAATGTTGAGATTTCACAGCAGCAAGGAGAGAGAAGCAGATGCTCTGACTACAGTGATGTCCTAGAACTACAAGGGACCTCAGAGAGCCAATGGCAATTCCATCCCCCAAATACTGGGTAGGATTCAACATAAATTTTCAAGTAATTGGTTGTGTATCAAATTTGAAAGATTTTTTTTTCAGCTTTGTCTTCTCAACAGTGTCGACTAGCCACCCACATCCAGTCAGGTCTCTCCCCATCGCTAACCGTTTGTGTGAGCTGGGACACTTCTTGCTGACCTTGAAGAGCAGCTCATGGTGAAGGATTTTTTCATCTCAGCTACCTCATGACTCTGCCTTGGGCTCCTACCTCCAGCCTGGTTCTTTTCTGTCTGGTTCATCTTTAATTGGACCGTTCCCTTCTGCCCCACCACATTTCCAGCTGTTAGCCCCAATCAGAAGAGAGGCTGACATTCATTCACCTGTGCTGATAAGCTATTGTCTACTCATGTTGACAGTTAGTAAGGCAGGGAAGGCCCCTGCGGTGCTTCTCTGTTCTTTTCTAACCTATTCTTCCAGGAAGCCATGGAAGCTGGTGTAAAGAGGGCCAGGCTCGTGGAAGGGGACCTAAGTTCTAAACCTGCCTTCATTTGGAAAAGAAGGGAGTTAGATTAGTGGAGCACTAAGTTGCTTCTGGTCCAGCGATATATATTGAGTTTGTACTTTGTGCCAGGTATGGTCACAGACACTGGGGAGTGAAAGCAGGGTGCCTGCCCTCTTGACAGTGGGTTTGTGAATGGGAGGTGGGTGGTGGAATGCAGCCCTTACAAACCATTTCCCAAAACTGTGGCCCAAACATTTGTCCTCACTCCCTGCTTTGAACATCCGTCTAATCTAACCCCCTTCTTTTCCAAATGAAGACAGGTGTAGAACTTTGGTCTCCTGGCACCAGCCTGGCTGTCCTTACACTCGCTTCTGGGCCTCCTACGTACATCCACTGAGCTGTAATTTCCATTGCTTGTCTGTCTTCCTACTACTTGTTTTAAAGAGATACATACAGATGTGTTTCTAGCTCATGTAGAGTATCTTCTTTTTGCCTTATGTTCAGTCTGACTCAGATCCTGCTTTTTGAAATTGAGAGTAGTTTTATAAAAGTTCTGAGAAACTTGAGGCAAGATTATCCTGGTGGGTAATATAATGTCCTTTGTGACCTATCTGTATGAACAAAAATGTTCAAAACTGTGTCTGCTGGCATGCTAGGCTCAAATGTAAGAGGAGAAGAAAAGATCCGTGTTTTTAAAGAAATTGTAATGTGTACAGTGACACAAGATGGGAATGTTAGAGAAACAAGGGGAGATGATATAACTGAAAGTGAGTGCTTGTGAATTTTTTTTTTTTTTTTTTTTGAGACAGAGTCTTGCTCTGTCACCCAGGCTGGAGTGCAGTGGCCTGATCTTGGCTCACTGCAATCTCCACCTCCCGGGTTCAAGCGATTTTACTGCCTCAGCTTCCTGAGTGCGTGCCACCATGACTGGCTAATTTTTTGTATTTTTTTTTTCAGTAGAGATGGGGTTTCACTGTGTTAGCCAGGATGGTCTCGATCTCCTGACTTCATGATCCACCCACCTTGGCCTCCCAAAGTGTTGGGATTATAGGCGTGAGCCACCACACCCAGCCTATGTGTGCTTGTGAATTCTTAAAGAGTGTGTGTAAGGGAGAAATTTAGGGGCATTGCACCCAGAGGGAACTTGGGAGAGTGGCCAGTAGTCTGTACTGCTCTTGCTGTAGGCCATAAACAAGGGTACACACCCTGTCAGAATTGCTTTCTTCCTCCTGCTTTCAGAACACGTGAAAGTGTCGAGGGGGAGGCCAGACTATTTTAACACTGTTTCTCTACATTTTTCCCTAAAAGTGGGAGAGATGCTCTCGGTGAGGCTCAGGCCCTTGTCAGAGAGTCCCTGGATGGCAGCAGAGCCTTTCCATGGCCAGTGACTGACCAGAGGTTTTTTTTCTTCCAGAGATGAGAAGAACCAGTCCATCATAGTCAGTGGGGAGTCTGGAGCCGGGAAGACAGTATCAGCCAAATATGCCATGCGCTATTTCGCCACCGTTGGTGGCTCAGCCAGTGAAACTAACATCGAAGAGAAGGTGTTGGCATCCAGTCCCATCATGGAGGTAAAGCCTTCCAGGTGCCCTGGCCTTCCTGGCTGGAGCTCTTCCCACTGGCAGCAAGACTGCTAGGTATGAAGCTCCCTGAGAGCCCTCTGTCCACTGTGGAGGAAAAGTTACCAAGGTGCCTCTAAAACAATGGATGCTGACCTGCTTGTGTCTTTAGGTTCCCAGTACTGGGCAGAGTGTCCTCATATTCTCCATGTCCCTTGACTGCTGAATGTTGTAGTGACAGTGACCGTCCCTCCCCACCTCCTCCATGTCTGTTGCTGTCCCCTTCCCTGCTGATATCACATGTCAGAGATCAGTGATCAGTGCTCCACTGAAACTCTTAGAAACTTTGAGGGCCTGCTGGATCGGAAAGGGGGCTGGGGATACCTAGATGGAATACTTTTCAACCTACAATATTTGGGTGTTTTATCTTTTTGTGGGGAGGTAAAGACAAAAGATATGTGATCACTTAGCATCTGCTGAAGCTCCTCAGAAAACAGGTCCCTGTGATGGCATGAATTGGCCAGGGCAGGCCCCCTCTGTGTCTTCACTCCCCAGGCTTCATGATAGAGTCTGGGTAGGGTAGGCTTGGAGCAGTTGACACAACTACAGGCTAGAGACATTAGCTAAAAACTAGATCTTGCTGTAACGAATCATGCTTTAGTATCAGAATGCTGTCCCTTTTCCCCCCTTTTCTCTATGAAGCCTTCATTTTGATGGAGTAGAATGAAACGGCCTCGTAGTCCCTGGGCCAGCTTTGATTCCCCGCCTTTGAAGCTAAAGCTCTTTGTTATTGCCTGGGTTACAGTTGGTAGGAAGAGGACCTTTCTGCCAGCCCTGGGCAGCCCCTCTGTTCTTTGTCTGTCTAGTGAATTTCTAATTGAACTGTTCCCTTCTATCATCACACCTACAATAGTAAGAAGACATTCAGTGGAGGCCCAAGCTGCCAAGATAGCATCAGGTTTCCATGAGGAGCCCTGAGCCCTATCGACTAAGACCCAAGTCACCGTGGGGGTTGGTCTTTCAGATGATTTTGGAACTTAGGGGAACAAGAACCTGCATGGACCTTCCCCAGTCCTCTCTCTCCCTCTTCCTTTACCCAGTGCAGGAGTAAATTCTGAGTCTCGGTTCATAGGGGTTCATTGATTATTCAGGGAAAATCTCCTGCTTTCAGAATTGCATTAGCTGGAAAACTTTAATTCTTTGCTAGGTAATAGGATACAACCTGTTCACTAAGAGTTTTTCAAAAGCAAGTTTCAGTATTTGTTCTTATATGATTTGGAAAATGGTGAATACAGTTGAAGGCATTGGTACTAAAAAAACAGATAAAAGGAAAAACTTTTATTCTATTACAGTGCTTCTCAAACTTGAGGGTGCCTAAGAATTGCCTATAAGGCTTATTAAAGTACAGATTGCTGGACCTCACCCCAGAGTTTCTAATTCACAAGGGGTCTGGGAGGACCTCCCCCCAAATTTTCATTTCTCAGAAGTTCATAGGTGATGCTAGTGTTGCCCGTCTGGGTACCACACTTGGTGACCCATTAAAAAGATAGGAAGGGTTCACTGGAAAATATGAAAGAATAAAAGGAAATAGTCACCTATAATACTACAGACTGCTGATAATCACCCAACATTTCAGTATATTTTCTTCTAGCTATTTCACTAACTATTATAGCATAAGCCTTGTCCCCATATCATTCAACTTTTTATGAACTATCTTATTGGCTGCAAACGTAGATTAATAAATGGCTTTACCATAATCTGATCCCTTCTTTTCTGAGGTATCATTGGTAGCATATTTACTCCAGCATTTAATCTGAGCCCCATACTGAGACATGGCCAGGGCCAGGTCAGAAGCTGTTTGTGGACTATAGCCTTGGCCTCCTTAGACCTTGTACTGTGGCTGTATTGAACAGCTAAGACAGCCACCCCGCAATTAACATCATGTTCCACCTCAAATGAGCGTGAAAGCAAGATCTCTCCTTTGACCGAGTTTCAAGATTCTGTCCATCTTTTAGGCAGTAAGATATCAGAGACGCAGTATACTACTTGTTTTAGAAGTAGAGTAGTTATTCTGGGCATAGAAGAACTACAAGAAACCTCTTTGAGCTCTGAAGACTGAACAAAGTAGTTATTATTAGTCGTGTTGGAAATTTGGTGAAGGCAGATCACCACATTAGTAAACATGTATGAGACATGGGGAAATTTTTTACAATTTTGTCATAAAGTACGCATAGCATAAAATTTACCATTTTAAGTGTGCAGTTTTGTGGCATTTAGTACATTCACAGTGTTTGTACATTCATCACCACCATCTATTTCCAGAATTTTTTCATCATCCCAAACAGAAATTCGTTACCCATTAAACAGTAACTCTCCATTCTCCGTTCCTCCAGCCCCTGGTAATCTCTCTGAATTTTCCTGTTCTAGGTACCTCATAGAAGTGAGATCATACATTAGTCCTTTTGTGTCTGGCTTATTTCACTTAGCATAATGTTGACAAGCTTCAATCATGTTTTGGTATATGTTAGTGCTTTGTTCCTTTTCATGGCTGGACAGCGTTCCACTGCATGGTCATACCACATTTTGTTTATTCATTCTTCTTCCTTTTGGCCATTGTGAATAATGCTGCTGTGAATGTGGGTGTGAAAGTATCTTTGAGTTCCTGTTTTGGGAATGCTTTTTAAATGACAGTGGTTTGACATGACTGATGTTCAGAATATCCATTATAGCCTGAGTGGCCTGCTAGGTTGTGAGGAAGCAGGGTACTTTGACACAGGAGAGATTAAAAGCAACATCTGCACACAGAACTACACACAATGTTCTTCAGTTGCTAAAGCCTGAAGGAGGAGTGTGTGAACCCGCTTAAACTTACATGATCATGTAAATAAAGGCTACAGTGGTTCGAGCTCAAAACATTAATTTTTTGCCTTCTGCAAATTAGTACTTTGGAACTATGTGAGTGGGTCCTGAGGGCTTATTCTGTCAAATGGAGAATTCTGCCATCCTAGAGACTGTCCCTTGAGCTGTCATTAAGTGTTATATTTGAAAGAAGTCTTGGATATGAACACGAAAGGAAGAATTATAGCCAGGAATAACCCTGAGTAGGATTAGAAAGAGTGTTGCCAGCCAGGCGCGGTGATTCATGCCTGTAATCCCAGCTCTTTGGGAGGCCAAGGTGGGTGGATCACGAGGTCAGGAGTTCAAGACCAGCTTGGCCAACATGGTGAAACCCCATCTCTACTAAGAATACAAAAATTAGCCAGGCGTGGTGGCAGGCACCTATAATCCCAGCTACTCGGGAGGCTAAAGCAGGATAATCCCTTGAACTCAGGAGGAGGAGATTGCCGTGAGCTGAGACCACACCATTGCACTCCAGCCTGGGTTTCAGAGTGAGGGTCCACCTCAAAACAAAAAAACAAAAACAACAACAAAACAAACAGAAACAAAAAGAGCGTTGCCAAGCAGAGAAAGAGGCTTTTTGCACTTCCTGAGTCTGAAAACACGACTTTTCAGAATGGAGTCTAGCTGGGATCTTGTATCAGGAAGCCCGATCAATTTTGTGGCTGTTCAGAGTGTTATAACCAGCACAGAGCATGTCTTAATCAGGGGACAGACAGCAGATTACTGACTGATTGCTCTGCCCCTGTTGTGGGGAAGGATGGCACCTCCCAACAAAGCAATCAATTATGGTCACAGCATTGTCTCATTGTGTCTGCTCCCCAGCAGCTGCAGACACCTCCTGGATTCCAAGAGTTGAAGGTCTGAGGAGGCGGAAATCCCAGTAGTCTAGGCTGAGTGGCAGTTGTTTGAATTAAAGGCAGCTTGAGGATGGATTGAGATTGGTTGGGGCGCCCTGGGATGATTTACTGTCACCACCAGCACTATCTGACCCTGTTTTGTTTAAGAGCTTGTCAGCATCCCAGGAGTGATTTGTTCACAAGCCTGCACTGATTAAAAGAACATTGGTAATCAGGAGACTGTTAGAGGAACTTAGACTCCTAGACAGAACCCAAGTCTAGGCCAGAGATGTCACATCATTTCTTAGGGTGACTGTAGTTTGCAGGCCAACAACACTGAGAGCCACAGAGAATGCCCCTATCCTGGGAGAAAGAAAGGAGGCTAGAGTGAAGTTAGCAGAAATGGTGACTAAGACCCGATATGTTATTTTCAGGATTTGCTTTTTTTTTTTTTTTTTTTTTTAAGATAGGTCCTTGCTTTGTCACCCAGGCTGGAGTACAATGGCATGAATACAGTCACTGCAGCCTCTACCTCCTGGGCTCCAGCGATCCTTCTACCTCAGCCTCCAGAGTAGCTGGGACTACTAGACATGTTCCATCATGTCTAACTTTTGTATTTTGTTGTAGAGACAGGGTCTTGCCACATTGCCTAGGCTGATCTCGAACTCCTAGGCTCAAGCGATCCACCCAGTTTGGCCTCCGTAAGTGCTGACTACTAGCGCCTGGCCAAGGGTTCACATTTTTTAGGGCAAAGAAGAAGGCCAGATACTGTTAACCCATTTTTACAAGAATCTGCCCCCAATACACCTTACCAGTCTTATCTCCTGTTTTCTCTCATGTATCAACATACTTCAACCCCTCCAAACTTGTCCATTTTGTAACATAACTCCGTCCCATTGTCCACACTATATTTATAGAATCTCTTCTTCTTTCTCACTGTCAGAATTCTGTTCACTTTACGATCCACTTCAATTTTTCACTTCTTAAAGCCTTTTCCATACTGGGACATGGTTGTTTTTGTTCCTTATCCATGTTTTCATACTACTTGATACATACTTCTTTATTGTGCAAACCAGTTGCCCTGAAATTATTCCAACCCATTGTTATTTCACTGTGCATTTCTGTATGCATCAAAAAGATTGTTATACCATGTATACTTGGTGTCATATTCCATCAACCATTTTGCAACTTTTCATTCTACATTTTTTATTAACCCATAAGCTGTGTTCTAGCTTATTACTTTTAGCTGCTTTATAACATCTGATTGTATGAATATACCACATTTTGTTTTCCCTACTGGTGAACATCTGGGTTGCATTTCTTTTTTATTGTTAAATATAGTCTGAATGGAACATTCTTGCCGACTTGAATTATGCGAGAATTTCTCTAGATAACACCTAGAAGTAGAATTGCTGATTTGTTAGGTGCATGCGTGTTCAGTTTTACTAGATATACCCGATTTTCTTTCCAAATTGTTGTTCCAGTACTTTTAGATCTATCATATCACTTTGCAAAGTAGCCTAGTAAAGTAGAGAAGGCCAGTCTTTTGGCAATGATCTTCAGACCTTGGGCGAGGTTTTCCTAAGCTATCACAAGGAATTATCTCAGATATAGTAAAAGGCCTTATTGCCATTTTAGAATTTAAGAAATTTGAAATTAAAATTTTGAAATTGAATCTTGTTAAAACTAGTTTCTCCTTTAGAATTTTCCACACACTGGCCTTTTCTGATTACATCTGTATAATACTGTATAACATGTGCCTTTGTCCACTGTATTTCCTGTGAAGGAATAGTAAAATTTAGAGACTTGTTTAGATTTTTTTTGTAACAGGAATCCTTAAGATGTGGTACTTGGGCTTCCATTAGGAGGCACAGAAGATCTGGCTATCTTTCTGTGAAGTGAGCAGCCATTGATTATGCCTGGACCTATTAATTCATCAGTAGTTACAAAATGCTGATATTCTATTACTCCTCCTGCACGTATTAGCTGGAATAAATCTATGCAGAGAAATGTCCCCTCACCAACTACTTAATTGTCCTGAGATACAGTTTACATTGGAAAGTAGATGTTTAATTTTTCATTTGCTATGTTTCATAGTAATGGGTTGGTTTCCTAGCATCTTCTGAGAGGCTTCTTTCCGGTTTTTCATAAAAAGATATAAGTGAGGATTAATATCTGTCTTTATCCTTTGACTTAATTTGGCTATTTGAGCCATGAGAAGTTACCCACATGCGTGGTAGCTTCCTGTCTGGTGGTGAGTGTTTTGGAGGAGACAGAGCACTGTGACGCTGTGTAGGTAGAATGAACGTAGACTTTGGATTCAGGTATATCTGAATTTCTGTCTTGGGTTTGCCGCTTCCCAGCATGTGACCTTTAGCATATGACTTGACCTTGCTAAGCCTAAGTTTTCTCATAAGTGTGGTGAAAGTTAGTAATGCCTATCTTGAACCGTTCTTGGCAGCATTATATGAGATTATAAGGAGCCCAGCCCAGGGCCTGGCTTAGGTTGAAGGCCTGGGAAATGCTTTTTACCAACATTTTAGGAAATATAGCCTGCTTTTCCATTTTCTAAGTAGAAATTGGCTTACTGAAGTCTGCCAGTCTGCATTTGTTCCGTGGGGCCTTGAAGGCTGAGACCTCTTTTCGTGGAAGTAGATGCACTGAGGCCTCTGCTGAGATGGCAAGGTTGGTGGGTGCCAGGAGCATGAGTACCCATCGCCTTTGGTTGGAGGGAGCTGATGACATAAACTCCTCCAGTTAGGTGTCCGAGAGTTACATCAGGCTGGCCGCATTCTAGCCTTGCCCTGACCTTGGGCATGTTCTAAGCATCAAGATGCCCTTCATAGCAATCCAACATACCAAGGTTGTACTTTCTCCCCCTACACTTTCTTCCAGAGGTATATACTGTGTCTGATGTGTAGGTTGCTTTATACACTTTAAATCCTACAGTTACGTATATTGTGACTCCAACTGGTGTTTGCAGGACTCTGCAGTGGCAAGTTATCTATGAGGACAAGGAGTCCCACACTTACATTTTACAAGAGAAAAACTGAAACCTAGGTTCGTTTGCTCTTTCACTTACTCAAATATTTTCAAGTGCTTACCGTGTGCTGGAACAGATGTATAATATTTGCCCCCATGAACACAGAGAGTTAACTGCATATGGGGTAAGGGGAAGAGGAGAAAAATGCAGGGCCTGGAAGAGCATGCAGCAGGAGGTGCTCCCCTAGCCTCAGGATCAGGGAAGGCCTGCTTACTTGAAGGAAGATGAGTTGGCTAGGTACAGGGAGCCATGGGAAAAGAGGGAACTGAATATGGGAAGCTTGGGTGACGGCAGAGAGAGGACAGGGCTCTAGAGAAAGAAAAGAAAAAGGGAACTCCTTTTTTTTTACCAATGGGATATTTTCAGGAGTGTTAGTTATAGGTCAACTTTGTGACCTTTTAAGCAATTTGCTTTTCACTATTCTGTCAACCTTGTCAATACTAGATAGCCACTGGGCATCGTGGTCTTGGGGATGTCAGAAAACACTAATAGTTCTTCCACTTGGATTGGACTGAGCAGGACTTGAGGGGTAGATGGGGATTTTGGCTTTTCTTTCAACTTCTTTGTGCTTCAAATTTTCTAGACCACCGAGAAGTTATAGAAGATGTTTTTCAAGTGTTTTATCCACCTAAAAATGTAAGCATGTGAAAAGGATTAAATGTTAATATATTCTTTACCAATGCATTGGCATGGTGTTTTATAGAAAGCAAATATTCACATGATGAACTTAGTCCCATAGCCACTCGTTTGTAAAATCATCCTCTAGTGTTTTGAACTGTAACCTTGCTGCTGCAAGGATGATGGCTTCCTGAGGTGAGAAGGAGTGTCAATTTTGTGGCCTGTTGTTAGGAAGGTATCGTTTACCAGTTGGGAGTGACATTTGACTGCCTCCTCATTTAGAACTTATCAAAGTATGTTAGGCACAGGAAGCTTTGTTTGTTTTTTCCAGGAAGTTCAGAGCTAGTGGGCACTGACATTGGTTTAGTGGCTCAAGGAGGTCACAGCTAAGGTATCTATGATTCTTTAGGCCTTTTCCTCATGGTTTCAAGATGACTGCTATAGCTGATGCCATCACATGTGCATTCCAGCCAAGAAAGGAGAGGAAGAGAATAGGGACAGTGGGATGCACCTTATACTGCACCTAGGTGCAATTGGAAGAGCCCACCAATGAACTCATTACTCTTATTGGCCATCGTCAGGAGTTAAGAGGCTGGAAAATGAAGAGTTTCAAGTTTTTATTTTGTTTTTTAGCTCAGCTTATTGTCATCCCAAGAACAGAGGGTTTCTGTAAGTAAGGAAGAGAAAGGGGACACATGCTGCCATAGGCGTACAATCCTGAAATCAAGAAAGCCCTCTTTTTTCTTTTCTTACCTTTGTTTGGTCCGTGCAGGCCATTGGAAATGCTAAGACCACCCGCAATGACAACAGCAGCCGTTTCGGCAAGTACATCCAGATTGGCTTTGACAAAAGGTACCACATCATTGGGGCCAATATGAGGACCTACCTCTTGGAGAAGTCCAGAGTGGTCTTCCAGGTGAGTGGGAGGATTTGAGCCCTTTTGTGTCTTTCCCATGTACAATGACCTCACTTCTGTTCCTTGCCCCACTCCCTGGGCCCAAAGAGAATCTCATCTTGTGAGCCTAGAGTTGAATGTACTTGTTCTTTTGGTGCTTATCTTTCATTAGTACGTGTTCATTCAGATGGTATAGGCATTAGGTCTCAAAAATTTTTATACAATACTGTTTTTAGATTCAATCAACAAACAGATTGAATGCTTATTATGTGTTAGCCATGTCCTAGACACCAAAGATACAGTAAAGGACAAAACAGACCTTTTCCTTATGGATTTTAAAGTCTTATCAGGAGAATGTCATAAATGCAGTCTGGGTTTTCGGTTTCCTGAGAACCTCCTTATTTAGTATGTTTTAAAAAAACAGATTATACTTGGCTACCTAGTTTGTTTTCTTTGCAAATAAGTGGATATCCCACTTTTTAAAAATTATACTTTAATTTCTGGGATACATGTGCAGAACGTGCAGGTTTGTTACAGAGGTCTACACATGCTGTGGTGGTTTGCTGCACCTGTCAACTCATCATCTACATTAGGTATTTCTCCTAATGCTGTGCCTCCCCTATCCCCTCTAACCTCCAGCAGGCCCTGGTGTGTGATGTTTTCCTCCCTGTGTCCATGTGTTATCTTTGTTCAACTCCCAGATGTCCCACTTTTTATCTGACTTGATTTTTCTCTGTTCTTTGCTTACCTTTAATTTCCTCTTGCTAGCTAGTCTTTGCCTCTTTGTAATCCTTTGCTACCTCCACCCTAACTTTGGTGGAGTCAGTATAGCTCACAACACCAACAAAAGTCCTCCTCCACCTCCCTTTGCCCTCCCATCACTGAACCAAGATGATGGTTCAGGTCCTGGTTTGAGTCTGTGGCAGACTCTTGCCTTGGGTTAAATGGCTTTCTGGTCCTCATGCTTCAGCTGCCTTTAAGGAGACCTGAGAATCGCCTCAGCTGTTTGTTTCTTGGTGACGTCTCTATGCTGATACTTAGCAAACATCTAATGAATTTTTTAACCAGCTCCCCATGCTTTTGCCTGTGATTTCTCTGTACCTCACAGGTTAGCTTGATAATCCCCCCATCCTTCTTTACACCAAAGTCAAGGGAACAGCTTGCTGGGTTGGGTGTGGGTCCAATGTGTTGCTCATGGCTCTTTCCTGGACACCCCTGGAGTTTCCTTCTTCCTTAGCTCTTTTCTCAGGCCTCCTGAATCCCCACCCCCAGACCCCCCCTACCAGTGTAAGTCCAGTCCAGCTGCAGGTGTCCCCCAGACATCCTGCCTCACTTGTGGCTCTTTCCTGACTGCCCAGCCTGACCTGATGGGCAAGCACAGCTTCCACTTAGCTCTGAGTCTCCCAAAGGAGAATGGGAGCTCACAGAAGGGAACTGACAATCTATGGGACATCAGCCAAGCAGCACAGAATACTGAATAAATATTTGTTGATTGACTGACTCACCATTTGTGGAGGCATAATGATGTTCTATATAGAAGGAAAAAAGAAAATGCATACATGCATTTGCATAAGTCAAGAGGTATAAACCCTCAGGTTGGAAGGAAGGGGCCCATAAGAGTGAACAGAAAGTCAGGAGGTGGGAATTAAAGGTGGCAGGGGTGTAGAGGTAATCATTGACAGGTGGGCTAAGCCTCCACCACCTGGAGCACCTTGGGATTACAGTGGCCAAGGGAATGATCTTAGAGGTCACTGCCCTAAAACTGTTTCACTTCTTCCCCTTCCAGGCAGACGATGAGAGAAACTACCACATCTTTTACCAGCTCTGTGCTGCTGCTGGCCTTCCAGAATTTAAAGAGCTCGCACTAAGTAAGTCAACAGGTGTATGCCCATCTGGAGTGGGCTGCGCTGTAGTGTGTACACAGCTGGGGGCTCTGCTCAAAGCCCTCCATCGTGGGTTCTTGTCTCTGGTCTGCCTCTTATATGGCCATACCCCTGGGCCTCTCTAAATTTCACTGCCCAATTAGTTAATTATACCCAGTCTACCTGGTACAGAAATTGTATGATAGGATAAGAGGCAGGGATGGAAAAGAGTTTGGCATGGCATGAAAGTCTTTGCATGCATTACTACTTTGAAAGATATGTTTGCACTTCATGCATCACAGGAAATGTGTCCCAACCATAAGGATCTGGAGATAAAGGTAATATACATCATACAATGATACCTAGCATGTTTTAACTCATAGTTAAGGATTGAGGCAGAGACAGGGGTGAGGATAATGCATGGGTAAAGTTGGGGTGGCTCTAGAGCCATGTGGATGCAGTATGGCATGGCCACAGAGGATCAGAGGGGGCTTCAGCACGTGGGACTCAACCACCAGGCCATGTGATCGCTCCTGGACTGGCATGGAAGCTTCTAGCACATTCTCACTGGAGGGAGAGAGATGAAGCAACCTAAAGTGCCTCTTCAAGATGCTGAGGGGATAAGTCACCTTGTTGTCATCCCCATCAGATGAGCACCACCCTTGTTTTCCACTCCTGCTGTTTCCTGAGGGGTGTTAGCAAGTTTCCTTTGCTTTGAGGCTATTGATGTGGAGCCAGCAGAGTAGTGAACAGGCTTTAGTTCTTGACTTTATACCACAGAGCAGCTCTCCTTGGGTCTGGAACCTTTGGCCCTTCTCTCTGTGGGGCATTATGGAGTTCTGACTGATATTTGCTGCTCAGTCTTCAGGCCTACGTATGTGAAGAGGGCAAGACTTGAGCCCAGCAGCATCTTGGTGTCTGCCACGCTTCCCGTCCCTGTCCTGCTCTCTGTGTTTTGGGGTGTCTGGGGAGGTCCAATATTAGCAGATGGCATGAAGGTCTGGGTGTCTACACAGGGTAGTTGGTCTTTGTGCAGCTGTGCAAAAAAACAGACTCCTGAGGCCTGGCTGTCCCTGATCTAAGTCCTGGCCATCCTAAGGATCCAGCACCAGACCCATCTGTGCTCCTAGTAGCTAAAATCCATCAAGTGGTTTCAGCACAGGTCTGCCCTCATAACTTTTACTTGCTTATGAATTGCTGTATCTTCAAGGCTTGTACCATGCAACTTAGCAATAATTCTTTCATTTGTTTGTCAAACCCTATTCAGGCCATGTTAGGCCCCAGGGATGCAGCAATGAGGAAAATAGTTGTGGGTCCTACCCTGCCAAGCTTATAAATTATGAAACAGAGTGATAAGGGCTGTGCTGAAGGAAGCAGAGCTGAGGATGGCAGGGAGGCTCCCTCTGGGAAGTAATTTTTAGATTGGGACCCCAGGGAGAAAACTCTGTCTGGCATCCACTGCTGGTTTTGTCCTATTCTCCAGCTGCTCAGTGCTTGCAAGTCTGCTTTTCCCAGGAACATGATAAAATCCTTGAGGACAAGGAGTGCATGTTCCTGCTAAGCAGAACAGATGCTGAGCACTCTTTGCACACTGTCCTGAGCTGCAGCCTGTGGCTCTGACGGTGGCTGTCAGTCTCAGGCAGCCAGGTATGCATCCACGTTAGGGGCCACTGCCATCCTCCTCTTGCCTTCCCAGAGCAGAACAGAGGCCCAGCAGGGCTTTTCAGGGCCAGCTTATAGGAGATGAATTTTTTTTCCCTCAGGTTAGTTTTATAGAAAATAAATACTGGCAAGACATACCTGGATGGTTTGGATCACTTGTCCCAATTGTAACTCTAAGGTAATGGGGAAGAAACCCTCCTAAATTTTTTTTTTTTGTTTGTTTGGGGTTGTATTGAAGCTAAAAGTGATTTCCCTGGGAGGGAGTCAAGATGGCCAAATAGACACAACTCTGGTGCACAACACCCAGCGAGAGAGATGTAGACATCAAGAGATCTTCTAGCTCCAACCCAGGTACCAGGTGCATTTCAACGGGTCTGGTCGGATGGTGAGCAAAGACCAGGCAGGGCAGACTGAGATGGGGAGGAGTGCCACTTCACCTAGAAAGTACATCTGACCGGTGAGTCTGAGGCTCCCCCTCTGGCACTCTGGTCCAGATACAGCATTTCCTCCAAAGCCTCAGCAATACACAGAACAGAGGATCTTTGCCAGTCAAGCACCAGGAATTATAAGCGCAGAGTTCAATAATAATACAGGACAGTGTCCCGGATTGGTGCACAGATCTAAGCAAACGCATAAGCCCATAAGCTGACCAGGAGAGCCTGTGGACTGAGCTATCACCCCCTCCCCCTACCCAGAGAGAGAGGGAGCTGAAAGCAGGGAGACAGATGGAGCAGCTGGGTGGGCCCCTCCCCCATGACCAGATAGAGAGGGAGCTGAAAGCGGGGAGAAAGACAGTGTGGCTGGGTGGGTATTTACCCTCCCCCATAAACCGCAGAGGGCTGAAGCACTAACTCTAGTAGGTTACACAGACAGTGCCTCAGTCTGAGCTGAACCCTGAATGATCCAGCCCTGTGGAGGAAAGACAACCCACGATTAAAGAGGCGGGACTAAACTTCATGTTTTAACAAAAAATACAGGAAGCCTATGTAGCAACAGGATGGTGTTCTTGACCACCCAGCAGCGCCTTCAGGTCAGCAGAAGACACAGGTCCAGTGTAAACAAAAAAGACACAGGGAGCTTACCTAGTAACCTGAAGGAGTCCCTAGAAACCAAGTAGCACCTCAACAGGCAGACAAGCGACCTCATCAAGCAGCTCCCTGAGATCAAAGCCAGGTAAATCCACGAAGATGTGGAAAAAACCAGCACAAAAAAGATGAAACCATCAAAGACCAGAACACCTCTTCTCCTTCAAGGGATCACAACTCCTCAGCAACACGGGAACACATGACCTAGAAAGAGTGCAACGAATTGACAGAAACAGGCTTCAGAAGGTGGACAATAACAAACTTTTCTGAGTGAAAGGAACACGTTCTAACTCAATGCAAAGAAACCAAAAACCTTGAAAAAAGATTAGATGAAATGCTAACTAAAATAACCAGCCTAGAGAAGAACATAAACGACTTGATGGAGTTGAAAAACACAGCACGAGAACTACATAAAGCAAACACAAGTTTTAATAGTGAAATTGATCAAGCAGAAGAAAGGATATCAGAGATTGAAGATCAACTCAATGAAATAGAAGACAAGACAAGAACAAAAAGACTGAAAAGAAATGAACAAAGCCTCCAAGAAATATGGGATTATGTGAAAAGACCTAATCTATGCTTGATCAGTGTACCTGAATATGACACGGAGAATGAATCCAAGCTGGAAAATACTCTCCAGGATATTATCCAGGAGAACTTCCCCAGCCTAGCAAGGCAGTCCAACATTCAACTCCAAAAAATACAGAGAACTCCACAAAGATACTCCTCAAGAAGAGCAACCCAAGGCACATAATCATCAGATTCACCAGGGTTGAAATGAAGGAAAAAATGCTAAGGGCAGCCAGAGAGAAAGGTCAGGTCACCCACAGAGGGAAGCCAATCAGACTCACAGCAGATCTCTCCACAGAGACCCTACAAACCAGAAGAGAGTGGGGACCAATATTCAATATCCTTAAAGAAAAGAACTTTCAATCCAGAATCTCATATCTAGCCAAACTAAGCTTCATAAGTGAAGGAGAAATAAAATCCTTTATGGACAAGCAATTACTGAGAGATTTAATCACCACCAGACCTGCCCTACAAGAGCTCCTGAAAGAAACACTAAGCACGGAAAGAAACAAGTACAAGCCACTGCAAAAGCACACCAAATGGCAGAGACCAAAAATGCAATGAAGAAATTGAGTCAACTAACAGGCAAGAAAACCAGCAAGTAACAAAATGGCAGGATCAAATTCATACATAACAATATTAACATTGAATGTAAATAGCCTAAACACCCCAACCAAAAGACACAGACTGGCAAACTGGATAAAAAGTCAAGACCCATCAGTGTGCTGTATTCAGGAATCCCATCTCACATACAAAGACACACATAGACTCAAAGGGATCAAAGAAGATTTACCAAGCAAATGGAGAACAAAAAAAAAAGCAGGAGTTGCAGTCCTAGTCTCTGATAAAACAGACTTCAAACCAACAAAGATCAAAAGAGACAAAGAAGGGCGTAATAATGAAAGGATCAATCCAACAAGAAGAGCTAACTCTCCTAAATATATAGGCAACACAGGAGCACCCAGATACATAAAGCAAGTTCTTAATGACCTAAAAGGAGATCTAGACTCCCACACAATAATAGTGGGAGACTGCAAACTCCACTGTCAATATCAGTGGAGAAGAATATCAGTGGACAAGACAGAAAATTAACAAGGACATCTAGGACTTGAATGCAGAGCTGGATCAAGCGGACCTAATAGACATATACAGAACGCTCCACCCCAAATCCACAGAATCTACATTTTTCTCAGCACCACATTGCACTTACTCCAAAATTGACCACATCATTGGAAGCAAATCACTCCTCAGCAAATGCAAAAGAACAGAAATCACAACAAATAGTCTATCAGACCATAGTGCAATCAGATTAGAACTCAGGATTAAGAAAAACACTCAAATCTGCACAACCACTTGGAAACTGAACAACTTGCTTCTGAGTGTCGACTGGATAAACAATGAAATGAAGGCAGAAATATAGACGTTCTTTGAAACCAATCAGGATGAAGACATCTCTGGGACACCTTTAAAGCAGTGTTGAGAGGAGAAATTTATAGCAATAAATGCCCACATGAGAAACAAGGAAATATCTAAAATTGACACCCCATCATCAAAATTGAAAGAGCTAGAGGAGCAAGATTAAAAAAAAAATACTCAAAAGCTAGCAGAAGACAAGAAATAACTAAGATCAGAGCTGAACTGAAGGAGATGGAGACAGAAAAATCCTTCAAAAAATCAATAAATCCAGGA